TTATATTTAATCCTTTGCTAGGTCAGCTGCTAAAAAAGTCAGTTCACTATATACAATTTTTCTCTCTAGAATCTATCTTACATATCTATAAGTCTACCATTCGTCCATGTTTAGAAGATTACTGTCACATATAGTCCGGTGCTCCTGCTATTTTTATAGAGCTCCTTGATAAGATCCAAAGAAGAATCAGCTATATTATAGGTCCTGATCTGGCAGCTAGGCTTCAGTCATTATCCCACCGTCGTAAGATTGCCTGTCTGTGTCTTTTCAATAAATACATTCATGGTAATTGTTCGGATGAGCTCTTCGCTATGCTACCTAGACTTCTTTTTTTTAAAATTTAAGCGTACTACTAGACTGGCGTCGAGATCTCACCAATTTATAGATGAGCTAGCTAGATGTAGCCGTAAGATTTATGCTAACAGTTTATTTTCTCGCACTTCTTGCTTGTGGAACTCCAGTCCGGCTCCATGTTTTCCAGTCATCTTTAATCTGCAAAACATCCAATGCAATGTCAATCGCTATCTCTAGTCCTCCTGAATACTCTCTTTCCGCTCATTATCAATATTTCTGTTCCTAATTCTTCCAAACCTTGCAACTCCTTGTGCCTTAGTGGCTTTAACGCTTTGCATGGGATGATACTGATTAAAACAAAAAAAAAGAAACGGAAAAAATATGAGGTTGATGAGTGGAGTGATGGCGTATAGACAATGTCGATAACCCACCGTTTCGCAACGGCGTCTAAGACAAGAATTAAGGAGAGAAATTAAACTAGAGAAGCTTTGACGCATGAAGTTCAAAAATGAAATTTCTTAAGTATTGTTAATGTGGTGTGAACGTTTAAATGTCACAGACAGAATTATTGTCAATTAATATTCTTTTTTTGTCAACAGGACAAAGCTTAATTGATCAATGATGGGAAGCAATTTCGCAGCTTGCGAACATTTGTATTGGGAATGAAGGTTGCTATCAACATATAATAATAATAATAATAATAATAATAATAATAATAATAATAATAAATATGCAGAAACAATTGACCATCTTGTATCAGGTTGCACAGTGTTAGCATCCACTGAATATAAAACTGTTAGAGTGGGCCAATATCCGGACTGGAAAAATGCAACTTTTATAGGAAGGAAACAATATGAAACTGGTATGATTATCACCCAGACCCGTTTACAGAGTGTAACAATTTTATGGGACTTTAAAATACACACAGATAGAACAATCAAAGCTAATCGCCCAGACATCGTGATCAAAGACCACAAGAATTGAATGTGCTTTTTTATTGACATGACAGTCACTGCAGATTGTAATGTTTGAAGATCTTCAAAAAACTATCAAAATACAAGGAGCTTGAAGTGGAAATAAAAAAAAAAAAATGAAAAATGTGGCACACGAGGACTGATTGGAAAAGGTTCTGATAGACTCATTGAAGGGATTCCTGGTAGCTCATCCCTTAAATAAATACAAAATATTGTACTCACAAGTACAGTTCACACATTACGAAGAGCTTTATCTATGTAAAATGTGTGTGAGCTTAGTTCTTTAGTTTGTTTGTTTTTTTACAAAAATTATCAATGGAAAATGTCATGGAGTCATTTCTGACCTCAGGCCCTTAATTGAAATAATAATAATAATAATAATAATAATAATATGTCGCTATATCAAGCACATTTGGCTGTGATACAAGGATCTGATTGTTGTAGCATACCCAAGGCATGTCCCCATTCACATAGATACAGTAGTAAATATTGTATGTTGGTCTGCAGTTGTAGATTCGTTTCCAGCTGTGCTGGCCAACCTCTCTGCCTCCGAGCAGAGAGGATTCCCAGACGAGGCTATGTCGAAGGTCAGAGTCTAGTCTCGGGAAACAGTTACCCGACACCGTTTTATATGGGGTCTACGGGGAATTTTTGGCCGAGCCTACGGGCTCGGATATCCCACATTAAATTTAGCCTTATGCCACATCTGACCGCGTGGGGCGGTTGGTAGATATCCTGTAGTTGGAGAGTCACTGTGAAATTCACTTGACTCACCTCTAGCAGTTGACTACTTCTTTTACGCGCCGCTGGCGAATTTTATATTTGCTGTTATTGTCCTAAGTATTATCGTTCATTACCAACCTTCGCCTGATTATTCTCTTCAGTAACCTTCCCTAAGTTACAACACTGTTATTTTCTTATCAGATTACGGTCTATGGTAGATATATTTGGTTTTGTGTATGTTGTGGATTCCGGGTTGAAATCAGGTACCAATAAATTAACACAACGCCAGGAATGAATATATGGAAATAATGTATTAACGTAATAATACAAACTGGCAAAGCGGGTTAGTAGTTCCAGGAATACGGGTTAGTAGCAAAATATATATATATAGTCTTTGGTATTGAAGTATCGCTGTATGACTTCTTACTGAGTCTACGTGCTCGCTCACTGTGACTCCTACAACGCTGTTACCTCACCCTCACTCTTCCGGTTACCTACAACCTTTTACTCTGTCACTCTGGACTCGACTCGACTCTTCGGTCTTGCTCCCTTGGGTCTTCACGTAGCCGTAGTATATGTATATACTGGGTGAGTCCATTTGTGTAAAAAGGTGGGGGGGGGTCAACAGTGTATTTGTTCTCATGTGTTATATTTCTGGCTTACTTCTCTCTTAATAATTAGAATGCAAAAACAAGCAGGTAACATTCACCAACTGCAAACAAAGCAAACGCTTTGGATTCAACGATTGCAACACATATCCAAGTGCCGACTGTAGAAGCGATCACATTCTAGTGATGTGTAAACTTAGAGTGAAACTACGGAAATTGAAGAGGCCTAAGGCAGAAACCCAGATTGCCATACGACAGACTCTTGAACGATCCGAATTTGAAGGAGGCAGATACGTGCGACATGTAAATTGGCACTCGAAGTGGGACACATTAAGAGAAGCTTTAGTGACAACAACAATTGAGATTATACCAAAGGAAAATAGACGAAGGAAAAAAATGAATGGATGACAGATGAAATTCTCTATATGATGGAAAGGAAACAAAAAAAAAAAAACAATGCCAAAACAAGGAACAGAATATAGGATACTACACAATAAAATAAAGAACAAATGCAGTCAGGCTAAAGAGAAATGGCTCAACGAAAAATGTGCAGAAATAGAAAGAATGGGTATCACAGATAAAGCAGATATGCATGAAAAATAAGGAAACAGGATAAAAGACCTGCTCATCAACAGGCTGCATAAAGTCCAAGGACAGAACGCTGATATTCGAGAAAGAAAAATACTTCAGCGATGGAACGAATATATTGGAGATCTCTTCCAAGCTGAAAGAGAATCATCGACAATACAGAGAAATATCGACGGACTGGAAATATTGAAATATGAAGTGGAATATGCACTGGCCAAATTGAACAGAAGCAAAGCGGCAGGGCCA